TTTTTTTTTTTTCTCCCCAAAAAAGTACTTTTGATTGTCTTGGTCTAACCCTAACTGGGTCATGCTAACAAGCCAAACATTGGCCCGTTGATTAGCCCCCCCCGAAACCTGTACCTGGTTTTAACGTCATGTCAAAAATAAAAAAACAACATACCACTCATATATAACACATCACTACTATTTTGAACTAGTTTATTAGACCATCTGCATTTGTCATCGCATGGAATATAAAATTAATACAGTGACTATTCAAAATCATTAGTATAAATATTAATGCTACACCAATTAAATTGCTGGCTAAAATACTATATTTTGAACCAACCTAGTGGTTAGAAACAGGCAGATTCAGATTTAGAATGCAAGTCTCCATTATGGTTTCAGTATTATTCATTTTGTTGTAGTTAGATAACTTCTGTATCTTACTCCCTACCAATGACTCTTTCTCAAAGTTTCCTGTCCTCTTTCTTATATTACCCTTACCCTGTTTCCTTCCAACCCCTCCCTCTCTTCATGTATTCACGCCCCTACTGATCCTTCTTTCGGATCCAGCAGTAGGAGTTCCTGCCCACCCAGAAACCAGGGAAGAGCTTCTCCTTGAAACTGGCTGCAAACCGATGAATCTGTCTGGTCTCCTTGGAGCCGTTCTCTCCATCTTCAACAAGGAAAAATTTGATGATGCCAGCTGGCTGGTCAGCGTAGATGCCGATGGTGGGACAGAGGGGAGCCTGGAATTCGATGTTCTCTCCGTTGTGCCAGACGTGGTAGCAGGATCCGGCCCAGCCCACACCCCATGACAGGTCATTCTCTCCCAGACCACATGGGCCATCCTTAGCTTTCCGCCCTGCGCTTTCACACGCTGCCCCAATCACCACCCAGCCCTCGCAGACCACCTCCCAGTACCCACGACTGCCCAGAAGACCCTCCTTACACAGCACCTTCAGGAGGATATTGTGAAAGTTATCCAACAGCAGTTGCCTGGTTTCTACATGTTGACCATCTTATGCATTACTTTCTGTAATCATTTTCTCAGCCTCATGTCATTTAAAACTTGCGTAGCTGTCCTTTTGAGTTAAACTTGTGAGTGAGTGAGTGAGTGAATCATTCAGGCTGGTTTTGTGAACCATATCAACAGATTCATTGAAATATTAGACTCTAATGATTTGATCATGAAGCAATACAATCACATACATAGATTTATGGAAGCCCATTTCATTAAAAAAATATCATGCCAAAAAATGTGAGATAAGCATAATTATGACAAAAATGTGAGACTGTTATAAGATAAAAAGTCGAAATTTGATATAGAAAGTAATAATTATTAGATTAAAAACTATGACAAAGTTAAAAAAGACATCATTACGACAAAAAGTTGAAATTGTGCGATGCTAAGTTATAATTATGAGATAGCAAAACTTGGTTTTGGATAAAATGTCATAATTGAGAAAAATTCAAAATGATGAGATCAAAACTGACTTTTTTTGTCAACATTATGACATTTAATCTCATCATTCTAATTTGGAATGTCATAACTCTGACGTTTTGTCTCACAATCATGACCTAGCATCCCATAATTTCGATTAATTTCAAGTCATGTTTTTTAATCAGTACTTATGTGTGAATAAAAGCCTAAATCAAATCTTCATTTATGCATATATATGTATATATATATGTACTTTATGTAGTTTGTGAAGCTTGAAAATGTTGATTACATAGACTTTCAATCAATGGACAAAAAATATTTAATAATTCAAATTCATTTTTGTTCTGAAGATGAACGAAAGGCTTTTGGAACAACATGAGGGTGAGTAAGTGATGACAGTTTTAATTTTTGCGTGAACTAACCCTTAAAAGCGTCAATAAAAAGATAGTTCTGGAAAAATTGATTTTTATAAATCGCACTGCAAAACTAAACAATAACAACAAAACATGTAGAGACAGATTCAGAGACTCACTTACTGTACATACCTGTGGTGAATGTTCATATCTCTCTGGCCTGTCTAGAACAGGACACACTTCCTCTGACATACGTGACACTTTGGCTCCACCTTCTGAGAGCCACAACATTTTCTGAGCAGTTCTGTCATCCAGAGAGAGATTTATCCAGTCTGAGAGAGAAATAACGTTTCAGAGGTCAAGCGCCTATTAAACTATAATATAGAACTATATATATATATATATATATATATATATATATAT